CCCCAAAACCCCAAAACCCCAAAACCCCAAAACCCCTTTTATTTGAAAAATATTGAATGATCAGAATTTAATGAGAAATTGGTTCAGTCTCTCTTTCAATAAATCTCAAGGCTAATTCATTGTCCTGTAAGAGGGGAGTCAATAGTTCCTTGCATTCTAAATGGTACTTGTTAATATATTCCAGATCCATTGGAGATAATAGTTTAGTATCAATAAGGTTTCTGCAGTAAGGGAACTTAGTAACATTTTCCCAAGCAAGGAATCCTTCAACATTAGGATCTTCTTGAAGGATCAAGAGATTCTCAATCCTGATACCGAATTCTCCTTCATGGTAGTAGCCTGGTTCATCAGTGTAGGTCATGCCTGCTCTCCATTTCTTCATATATGGACCCTCATGTACGTTAAGGAAATGGCCAACTCCATGACCAGTTCCGTGAGCATAATCTCTACCAACTTGCCAAAGTGGAGCTCTAGCAAAAGCATCAATATCTTTGATGTTATGAAGCTTCTTGTTAGGAATCTTTACTCTTTCAAAATCAAGATTTCCCTTCAAGACTCTAGTGTACATTTCTCTTTGGAAATCAGTAGGCTCAGTGAAATGGAAAGTTCTGGTAGTATCTGTTGTACCATCAAGATAATGACCACCAGAGTCACAGAGGATAACTTCTTTTGGATCTAAAACAGCTGCAGTATCTTGTTCAGGCTTGTAATGAATAATAGCTCCATTAGCACCAGAAGACAAAATAGTGTCGAAAGAAAGCCCCATGTATAAGTCTTGCTCTGCTCTACATTTCTCAAGTTCTATTGCTCCTTCATATTCTGTGAGAGTTGATTCCTTTACAGTGATTTCATTTTCAAGCCATGAGAAGAACTTAGCAAGAGCGGCTGCATCTCTTATTTGAGAGCTTCTATAACCTGCAATTTGTGTCTGATTCTTGATAAATTTGATCTCTCCAACAAGATCAGGGATATTTTTCACATTATCAGGGTTTAGAGAAGTATACAGTTTATTGTTACAGTCATTGGCATCAACAACAAATTTCAAATCTTTAAATTCTCCAGTTGAAAGATCTGTGAACACTTGGTCATAAGGTGCGATCTCAATATTATTTTCATCGAGGTATTCAGTGATGTTCTTTACCTTTTCCTCATCAATATACAATCTAATTGTATGTGTACCTGATTTGTCATAAATCACAGCATATGAAAAGAACAAAGGATTGTAACTAATATCCTGTCCTCTTAGATTAGTCAACCAAGCGATCTGATCCAAAGTTGGGATAACAATAGCTTCAGATTTGTTCTCCTCAACTTTATCCATTATCTCCTTGATATTCTGAGCAACTGTTCTTCCTGTGTACTTCTCTTCATGAATAGTAACAGGTGCACCTGCTCTTTCAGGCTGGGTTGAGCTCCATACCTGGTCGACTAAGTTCTCATCAATAGCTTTAAGAGTAATACCAGCTTCTTTCAAGTACTCTCCTCTGGCTTCAACACTACCTTGGGGGAGAAGGTATGGATCATATCCAATAACATCTCCTTCTTTAAGATTCTCTTTACTCCATTCATACCAGGACTTTTCATCAGCGACTCTTGTTTTTCTGATTTCCCATCCTTCTTCAAGCTCTTTGCCAGCTTGAAGCCAGTAGCGGCCATCAGTCCACATGTATGCAATGTCTGAGCCTTCAGAGTTTTCAGAGGAATCTTTTATGGTAGATCCTTGGGTGATAAGACAAAGTCCAGCACTTCCAGAGAAACCAGAGATGAACTTGATTCTCTCATCTCTTTCTGCAATGTATTCTGACATATGTGAGTCATTATGAGGGACTAGGTAGGCATTGACCCCATTCTCAGCCATAAGCTTTCTGATTTGGATTAATTTTTCAGACATCTTTTATTAAAAAATCAACCAAATTTTTGCATATAGGGGTTTTGGGGTTTTGGGGTTTTGGGGTTTTGGGGTTTTGGGG